GATGAACTATGACCTCTGCTACACCTACAATACAGTGAAATGACATTGAATTGGGTATAATTGATGTTACTAACCTTGTGTAGTAGCATCAGTATTGGTAGTTACTCGAGTCTCACTACTACTATCTTTTAATTGTCCAGATCCTATATCTTTATAATAGTGAATATATATGTTATATTATATCATTACTTGAAGATATTGAAGTACTTGCTTGTTGACAACTTGGCATCACTGTTAATGCTGAAGGAAATGACTTTCCTATTGTATTAGATTATAATAAGTAATAAAACTGTTCATTTACCATATTCCATTATTATATTACTAGCTAAAGACACTGCTTCCTTTGATTTCATTAGAATGCTTGTCAGAGTACATAACTTGCTATGATCTTCAGCTACAGCATTCAATATTAGTAACATTGGATCTCCTACCAATGAACAACCACAACTCTTCATTTCTGTTAATGTATCCTTAGATATCAATCCCTCTGTATGTAAGAGATCAATTGATTCTTCAGTAAGAACAACTTGAGCTAGTCTATCAATATAACACTGTAATATCTCACTAGCAGGATCTGCCACTAATAATAAAATATAAACAAAGTACATTGTATACATAACAATAACATACTTGTTTTGAAAATATTTTTACAAACAGATAACAGATTCATTGCACGGAGTGCATTAGCCAGTGTCTGCCATACGAGAGTACAATCAGGGCCTTCAGTCAACCACTTGGCTAGACACTCCATTAGGCAATTTGAAGGATCTCCTTTATTAGCTGACTCAATAGCTTTCAGTGTGTGATAAGGTAGATCTAGATTCAATCCAAAGTCAAACCATCTTGCTTCAGGAAACTTGTAATGCCTCAAGACTTGTAAAACAAACTTTAACTTGCTAATATCTGCATGCACACAAAATATGTATATGTATTATTATATACTGTACAAGATGATTTATTGGTGTGGAATTGATATTGGCAGTTCTATAAAGAAAATCGCCAATAAAAATCCACAATTTTATTTCAATCTGAGCATGTTGGGAATTGAATATTAATAAGTGTCCATGTTTATTAATAGTTATTAATTTTGTATTGAGCATGCTCAGTAAAGTGTGTGGTTTTTTTGGAGAAGTTCTTTGTGAATAGAGAATTAGTAGCCCTAGCGAGCAGCTTCTGCCATCAGATCTGACATAATCGGGACTGCAATAAAGAACTAGTAGGGAATAGAACAGAGCATGCTCAATGGCACATAGCACAAAATCTCCTATATATAATCCGCTAATTTCTTTCCACAGGCAAGTTCATCAAATATTACTCCCGTCAATAAATCATCTTGTATAGTATCATACTAAACAGGTCCATATACCTGAGGGAGGTGTCCAAGGATGTGATATACATGCAGCCCAAGAGCTACATTTCATCCGAGGACACCCAACAAAGGTTTATATACACAACATATTTTGTAAATAGACCCTGGGCACTAAGACTATTTTCAATGAATATGCTTACAATAACGATATTCATTCATA